ATTCTGGCTTTGTATGTGTTTGTTCTTAAGGCTTGGTCTTGTGCAGCCAGAATTATTTCATATTTAGATTTAAAACAGCAAAAAATTAAACATTTATATGCAAAGAACAAAAGGAACCATTTGAATATTATCTTCATAATTTATTGTTGGAAATGGAGCTATATTAATTTGGAATAGATAAACCCTATATTAAATATACAGATATGTGCATAAGAGTACATCTTTTACATACTCATATAAAGTAAAACAAGAGTTTCTTTAAAATACTAGTTTAAATATTTGTTGTTTATTTGTCTTGTTTTTAAGTTTTGTTTTATCTGGAATTTCTAAATTATTCTAATGTTATTAGCTATTCTGAGTGTTCAAAAAGATAATGTATGAATTGAATTGCCCAAATGAATAACTAGACAATTGCATAACTTTAATTGTGGCTTTTATTGTTGCGCTTAATGTGTATTTGGGGCTTCAAGGAAATAATTTACAGTTTTGTTCTGTTCATACAGAGTTTAAAAGAAAATAAACCCAGACAATAATTTTTTATATGCCATTTTCCATGGAATCTGAAACAGTGAAGCAATATACTCATATGACAACAACATTTTAAACCAATATATCCATTTTTTCTGATCATAAAATAAAAGGAAATTCATAAATAATAGGTTGCCACACACTCCTGGAAAATCTTCTCCTGTCCTCATAATGTTGATAACCTCAGTATAGAGCACTGAGTCACCCTAAATAACTTAAGTATATGATAAATATGATCTAGGTAGTTTTATTTCAGGTTGGTTTGACAGGTTAATATATTATGGATAACTAAAAGCTGAATAAACAATTATATATATAATTTAGATTATAGAGGTAGTCCTTGCTTAACGACCATTTGTTTAATGACAGTTTGAAGTTATGACAGCCTCAGAAAGGGTGTTTTATGGGCTGTGAAGCACTTCCGGCTGTTGTAAAATGTCACGCCCCCCCCCCCATGATCACATTTCAGGCACTTGGCAACCAGCTCACATTTACGACTGGTTGCCAAGCACCCCACAATCATGTGATCGCCATCTGCCAGCGTCCCCAGAAAGTCAATGCAGGGAAGGTTGCAAGCAGAGGGGATGGAGGGAAATCTCTCAGCAGTGTGCAGGAATTACTGCACACCATTACTGCACACCACTAAGAGAGGGGAGGGGAAAGCTCTCAGCATTTTAAAGGTCTCTCTACAACCTTTAGCAACCAGGTTGCTTTATCACCTTTTTCTCAAGTTTATATTCCAAAAAATTGAATATTTTACATATGAAATAAGAAGTTGGAGTTTAAGCTTAAACTACATTAGATTGTGACATTTTAGCAACACAAGTTCAACTACAGCTGATGGATACTGTTCACTTCCTCTGATTTTACTCCTTCACATTGTAGCAACTTTGTGATTTTAACATATGAATTTGCAGAGTGTTTTCACCCTCTTTTCCATTATATCATCAATACTGTTAACCACAGAGCAGGAAAAAATGATGGAGGTATATTGGAATTCCTCCTAGTCTGGGTGAGGAACTTGGTTTTCTTCAATGACCATCCAACAAATCAGTCAGATTAAAAAGGATGCTTTCAATTGAGTTTCCTATGTTGCCACTAGCTGGAACTGAGTCCTGCATGTCCTCTGGCTCTGTTATACTTCTCCAAATAGATAAGTACTAGAAAGGTATTAGTTATGCTCATCTGCATTTCCTTCAGTTGTCCATATGCTGCTCTGGTCACAAGGTCACACACTGTTATTTGCTTTGTGAGAGAAGAAAAAGTGCTGAGCCAGATGGATTATGAGCTGTTCTGGCAAGGCAATTCTTACATTCATTGGCCACTCACAGCTCTATTATTCCCCTTTCTTTGGGGGTGGAGATATTGCTGTCTTTAGGCTTGTTCTCAGACCCATGCTAGGGAGGCTAATTCCATTTCTTATCTGAAGACAACTCAAGAAGAAAATGGGAAAAGTAGATCTTTACATACTCAGAAGACAGCTACCTCTAGAGCTGCTCACCTTGAATAAATTTTCAACCCTTTGTTTAAGTCAGATACTAACATATTAAAATAATAATCTTATTTCAACTAGATGTTACTTCTTTTGTGCATATATTCTTATGAAATTACTTTACTGTCTGAAAATGAACTAGTTGCATATGAAATCATCCAAATGCATGAATATATACAATATCTATTGAGGTCACATATGGTCAATTTTTAATGCACAGGACAATAACTTTGCTTATGTATCTGCATGCATGTACAGAAATGTACATAAAAGTTTCCTCTTACCACCACCACATGCAGGTAAATTTATCCTTTGGCATATAATAGTAACAAGGAGAAAAAATGCAACTACAAATCTTATGAGTTGTTGCATTAAATAATGAAAAAGTGCCACTGATCTCTTTATTGATAAGAATGTTAAAACATCTTTAAATTCCTGTATCCTTAGAGTTATATTAATGCAGCATATTAAAGATGTTAAATTGTTTTTAAACTTTGAAAATAACTATTAAACTATATATTTAATACTGTAAATTTAAGATAAAATGTGACTGATTTATATAACTGAATATAAATTTACAATGGTAAATCTTAAATTAATGTAAAGAACTGGCAAATAAAAGGAAAGAAAATGAAATAATCTGCCAGTAAGAAATCCTCAAGCTGAAGGTCAGATCCTGTTCAGGGAAACCATCTGGTTGGGGTCCTCTAAGCCATACCATATACAATTTAAAAAAAAAAAAAATCCTATTCATTAATGCATCACAGCTGCACTAAGTGTTACTTTATTTTTCCATGGTAACATCTTTTCTGTTTCAAGGATTGAATTTCAGTTTTGGTAGCAACGTATTCTTTTGCCAATACTGAACATAATTCCTTGTTTTTAACATACCAGTATTACAATTTCTTGAAATAGATTCTTCCCTTATTTTGATTATGTAAAGATCATGCTTTCTATGCAGCAGTCTATTGGAAAACCAATAAAAGATAGCAAAATGTATCACAAAATGTAAGCAAAATGTATTTGTCTTCTCATTAATAAGCACACTTTCTTAAAATTGTGCCAATATCTCACAAACAATAAATCCAGAAAGAAGAAAAAGCATTTGTAGTAACCAAACTAAACTGATCTTGGAAGTTGTAGTTTCTTTTTTAAGGTAAAGTATTAATATAGTATTAAATTATATTATAGCCAGCTTGGAAAAATTGTCAACACTTGACTTCAGGAGAGGATTATGCCTGCAGCCATCAAAGGGGCTGTGGCCTGCCCCTTCCTTAAGAAGCCCCTTCTGGATACAGCTGTTTGATAACTATTGCTTGTTCTCCAGGCTTCACTTTTTAGGGAAGACTGTTGAGAGCATGGTGGAGATTCAGCTACAAAACACCCTACAGGAGTTAAATTACTTAGACCCCTTTCAGTCCAATTTCAGATTTGGACATGGGACTGAGTCGACAGTGGTCGTTCTAACCCCTGCAGGGAACTGGATGGAGATAATGCACCCCTTCTGCTCCTTTTGGATTTCAATATCATTGGCCATGATATCCTTCTGAGCCACCTACTGGAATTGGGAGCCCGAAGCACTATTTTAAAGTGATTCACTCCTCCTTCAGTGGGCAGTTCCAGTCAGTGGGCGGGGAGAGTTTGATCTGGTGCCCATTCTTATATGGGGTGCCACAGG